AACCCCAAGCCCTAAACCCTAAACTGGCATCCTTGGAGCCGCGCGCAGCGCACCCCGTCGAGGTGCGATTGCATCGTCCAGCGGTGCTGCCACGTGGGCAGCGCATAGAGACCTGTTTGTCAGGCTTAGAGGGTTTAGGGTTCCTTTAAAGGGTTCCTTAAAAGATACCAGAAGGGTTTAGGGGTTGAGGGTTCAGAGTTTTTCTTTGATTGCAAGGTTTTAGGGTTTAGGCTTTTTTGGGAATTTCAAACTTAGGGTCTATAGGGTTTACGGTTTAGGGATGACTCTGTCCAGAGACTCCAAAAACCCTTTGATGAAGAAACATACCTTGAATCTCCAGGGATCCTTGCAAGGGTTCCTTTGAAGGGTTCCTGCAGGGAGTTCTATTTACAGGGTTACTGTACGGTTTACTGGACGGCTTCGATAAGACCGGCTTCAGAATTCGACCAGAGTTTCGGGGTGCAGTTACTATACAAGACGTTTTACACGAAGCCCTGAGGAATGTCAATGTGAGTACTGATTACCCAAGCTTCTATTCTGGACCTGAACTTACCCAAACCCTGAACCCTGAACCCTAAATCCTGAACCCTAAACCCTAAACTTTTAAGCTGAGGACCTTGTGCCGAGCAACGACAGCGACAACAGAGCAGAAGCTGTCACTCTCTCCAGCATCCAGCCCTAAACTAGGGTTTAGGGCTTACGGTTTAGGAACCCTGAACCCCCATACCCTAAACCCCAAAACCCTTCTGCGGCCGACCTTCCTGAGTGCTTGTTCCATCCTCTTTTTTTTCGAAATTGCTGATTTGGGGCACAATACATAGTATGATCGAAGAAGGAACCCTGAGGAATCGCAGTATAAACAAATCCGGCTTCTATGCCAGTTTGCAGATTTCGGTCCATTCATTAGGGCTCGACTTTGACTCTACCCCAGAACTATGTAAACACCAAGCGCAAGCCGTAACCCTTCAAACCTTAAGTCCAACACCTCAAACCCAAAGTCTTAAACCCTAAACCCTAAGTCTTAAACTCTTCAGCCTTACAGCCTTCAAACCCTAAACCCCTCAGGAATGCCGCGAAGTGTGGACCCAACTCCATCGGTGCCTCTCAAGCCTGTGCTGCCTCAAAGGCTTAGGCAGCTTCAGTGCGATTCGTAACGTATGCTGTAGGGGCTTAAATAAATACCAATACTATTTTGGCGGTTCCTCAACCCTAAACCCTAAACCCTAAACCCTAAACCCTAAACCCTAAACCCTAAACCTCTATTCTAGTTGTAGTATAAGAGGCCCCAAAACCCTATTCTAATAATGAAGGCCCCTACATTAGGCTCTAAGCTCGAAGCTCAACATGCAGGGGCCTTAATAATTAGAATAGGGTTTTGAGGGTCTTTATTATGATTATAATCTAATATACCCCAAACCCTCTGGATATCCAAGGCCCACATATTCAGCCAAATAACTACTATCCACAACCAAAGTACCTGATTATATTGGGCCCTTTGGACCCTTAGGGTTCTGTCTCATCACAATCACCCTTTTTGGAAAGTTCAGCTTCTAGGCTGAGGACTGCGAGTGGGAAGGGATGAAATTTGGGAAGCCGTATCACATGGCTGAGCCCTACACACTAACCTTTGGGCCCGGAACTGTATCCCCTAAACTATAAGCCCTAAACTTAGCCCTTGAACCCTAAACTTTGGAACCCATCAACCCTAAACCCCTGAAGCCTGAACCCTGAACCCTAAATACTCCTAAACCCTAAACCCCTAAACCCTGAATCCCAAACTTAACTCCCAAACCCCAAACTCCCAAACTGAAACCCTGAACTTGGACGCCCTGGGCCTTCGAGTGTGTGTCCAGAAGCTATGTCCTGCCAAGCCCCGGGTGCCCTCCAGAGAATTCGGGACTTAGGGGTTGGGGTTTAGGGTTTAGGGTTTGGGGTTTAAGACGTAGGATTTAAACATTTACGTCTGAATCAGGTGCTTGGAAATTTCTAGATGTGGAAATAATGGAAGGGTACACTGGGATAACCTCTAGAGTCTAAAGTAGTCCCTCTGACCTCATGGACCGTATCTTTATGGCACTGAGTGGAGTAGGATTGAGCGTCATGGCTCTGATTCCTTGTTAAGACCAAACCATCTCCCGGTAGCCTCACTGCAATGTAGGGGCCTGAATAAATACAATAGGGGTTTTGGGCTCCTTTATAGTGTTATATATATATATACACACACATATTATATATATATGTATATATATATAATAAGGAACCCTAATAATAATATAAGTAATACTGTAAGATGCTATATTAAACCCTAAATTATACCACAAGGTCCTGCGGCAACGAGCCCGTCCCACTAGTGGCTGGCGCTGATGAGGAAGAGGACCCTCCTGAGTCATGGCTAAAGCGGCCCGGCATGAGAGGGCAGGGTTTCGGGTTTCGGGTTTATTCAGCCCTAAACCCTAAACCCTGTAAACCCTAAAACCCTAAACCCTAAAACCCTAAAACCTTAAAACCCTAAACCCTAAACCCTATAACCCTAAAACCCTAAAGCCCTAAATCCCTAAACCCTAGACCGTGTGTCGAGTTCAAGGCTAGGTTTTCGAGACTCAAAGGGTCTTAGTTAATTATATCGGATTAGGTCCAGGTTGTGAAAGCACCTGGACATCACACAAATAACTACGTTGTAAGGATTCTGCGCAGATTTGCTCACTAAACTGGTACTCGCAAAGTAAAATATCTCTGAGCGGCAGAAACTCCAGATTCCGCGAAACATTGCTTCACCCCGTACGGCTTAGCGTGCGGCGGGATGTTGGCGACTGTATATTTGAGGTTGGCTCATGCAAAACTCATCTTATGCCTGCAGGATGTTTTGTTCAGATCATTCAGGGCCATAACGGAACTCTCTTATGCCCGACATGAAGTTAAACCCTGAAGCCTAGACCCTAAACCTTATAAACCCTAAACCCTAAACCCTGAACCCCTAAACCCTAAACTCTCAACCCCTGAACCCCTAAACCCCTTAACCCTAAACTCTCAACTCTAAACCCCTAAACCCGTTTGGGGTTCAGGGCTCCCAGAGGCAAGCCGAACAGGCCCCGCCTTCTCCTGGCCACTCTAAGTCGATTCCTTGGTGGATTAGGGCCTATGATTGGGGTTTAGGGGATCCCACGCAGACGCCGATAATGGCAACTCTTCGAAGGTAACCCATATACTTCCCCTATAGTAACCCTTACAGTATGATTTGCGTAACCCGGCCGAACAGTGTGATCGTCAGGGGTCTTTCATGACATGTTACTATGAAATACACCCCGAACACCAATCTAATCATTAATTAAGGCCACCCTCGATGCATGATTTGCGTAGCCCGGCCGAACAGTTTGATCGTCAGGGGTCCTGAATGACATTTGACTATGGAATACACGCCGATCACTAATCTAGTCATTAAGGCCCCATGTTGTTATCCAAAGGGTCCAAGCACGAAATGATCTTACGATTTGCCCCGAAGCTCCGTTCTCATGACTACGGCCACGATATTATAGAGCCCGTAGAGTAAGCCTGTCAGAACCCTTAGAAAGGAACCTCTCAAGGAACCATATCCTAAGCATTCAGGCCCTTATGTCAAGAATCTTTGGCAGCCAGAATCCACCCAGGAAACCCCGAACCCCAAGAATCCCAAAACCCCAAGCCCTAAACCCCAAACCCTATCCGAATTATTCAGGGCACCCAGAACCCTAAACCCTAAACCCTAAATATCGGATCCTAGTATTTTGGGACTTCCGGGTCGGCAGTCTAGTCTAAATGTCCCTTGCTGTCTGAAATGGTTTAGAGTTTCGGGCTTTGGGTTTAGGGCAGCTCGCTGGTTTCGTGATCCTGTCTGCTGGGGATAGCATAGCACGCACACGGCAGTGTTTTTTGACAATCTAGGCCAACATGTCGCCAACAATGTTGCGCCTCTAGAACGAAAGCTGGAACATCCGCAACCGCAACTGAGGGTAGTGCGGCGAGACGAATAAAATCGTGCAAAGGCCATACACAAGCCCTCGACTCCCAACCACCGGCTTAGGGTTTAGGGTTTAGGGTTTAGGGTTTAGGGTTTAGGGGTTTAGGGACCCTTTTCTCACGTTCATTTGCCTTGCTCAGGCTCTTGCTACGAAAACTTAAATTTGCCAAGAACAAACCCCAAGCCCTAAGCCCCTAAACCCATCCTTCAATACTAAACCCTAAACCCCGAAACCCTAAACCCTAAACCCTACACCCCCTAAGCCCTAAACCCTGATCCCTTCGGCCGAGGCCATGGCTCGCTTCCTGAAGTCGCTGCCGGAGTGTCTCCCGGCAACTTTGAGCGCGCACCTGGCATGCTGGGTCGTATGGTTCTCCTTTGGTTTAGGGTCTAGGGTTTAGGGATTTAGGGGTTTTGGGTTTAGGGTTTAGGGTTTAGGGATTTAGGGATTAGGGCTTATAGGGTCTATGTAAAATTGTCTGTGCTACCGAGGCCTCAAAAGAGTAACGGTTGGGCTTGGGTCGACGAGGTCTCTCGGGCATATTATGTGTCCCATGCGGCTCGGTTATGGATCATACATGACCATTTATGACTGACTCTCACAGATACGCTGCCCCTGCGCACTACCTCTCTGTCCTGAAACACAAAGTAAGCCCCGAAGCATTGTGTCAAAAGCAAACTACCGTCACGACGCGCGGCAAAATCCTCTTTATGTAGCATTCCCATCAATGACCCCTCCACATTGTGGTCACGCATACAACAAGAGGTATGAACACGCAAAACGCAGAGGCATCACAAGAACCTTGCGGATACCCATGATACCAACCCTGGTAAAAGAATCCCTAAAACCTAGACTTTCAACCCTAAAACCCTAAAGTTTCAACCCTAAACCCTAAACGTTAAACCCTGAGCTCTGAGCCTGGTGAAGGAATTCCAGGACCTCACTCTTCGCATATGCTTCAACTAATCGAAAGTAAACGATCGCGGGCACTAGCCAGGAAAACACTAGAAGCAAGAAGCCCTAAACGCCCGGCACCCCTCAACTGCGCCCTGGAAACAAGTAAGCGCCAAAAAACTTTAAACATCCCTAAAGCCCCAAAACCTACTAGAAACTCGCGACACTCTTACCCTAAAACCCCGCAGTGTAGTCAGGGTCCATGTTCCTAGGTATAATATATACTGTGACCTTCAAGCACATATTTGAGCCCTGCCAAGGCCCTTTATACGTTATCACTGTAATTGCAGGAGGCCGGGATCTTCGATGACGTGCGTGCCGCGCCAAGGGTTTAGGTTTAGGATTCAGTTCTTGGGGCTTCTTGGGCTCCATTATACTCTTAGTAGAATAAGGAACCCCCCAAAAATAGTCTTGGTAATCATGTGGGCCCCTATATTATTGGGCTCTAAGCACCCCAAAGCCCAAAACCCTGGACCCCGAAACTCCGTTTTTCCTCACTGACCGTCACAGTAGCGCTGCCGGTCGCTTGTTTGGTCCTCACCAACAGAGGGTTTCGGGTTTAGGGGTTTAGGGTTTAGGGTTTAGGGTTTAGGGTTTAGGGTTTAGGGCTTAGGGTCAGAGTAGGGATGTGGTTTAGCGATGATAACTGGATCGGATTCAGGACCGTTTCGGGCACAAGAGGTTTAGGGCTTAGGGTATACGTTGACCCTTGAGTACCCTAAACCCTAAACCCTACGAACCAACAATAACCCCAAAGCTGCTTACAGAATGGCCATGGTCTCTGGGACCAAACGTCTGAAAATATGACTACTCCCAGTGAGCTGGAGTCTCGAGCCAAAGCCACCAACGAGTGCAATAATGGCAAGGACATCAAGAATATTGAGGACATGATCCGAAGTACGGATAGGGTTTCCGTTAAGAGAAATAGCACTCGACATAGTCTTCGATGACGGCTCTTTATCACCAGTCATGAAATCGGGGAGGCAACTTGACAAAGGAAGGCTAAAATATGGCACTTGCAATGTTCATGGAACTTTGACACTGGATTATGGTAAAGCAAAGTATGGCGTCAAAGGCACACTCGTAAGCCGCAGCAGCAGCAGCCGCAGCAGCAGCAGCAGCAGCAGCAGCCGCAGCGGCAGCGGCAGCAGCAGCAGCAGCAGCAGCAGCAGTAGCAGCAGTTGCGGCGGCGGCAGCAGCAGCAGCAGCGGCAGCTACCATCATCATCTGAACTATCTGGCTCGGACCGCAAGACGCATACAAACATAAATATGGCTAAGGCGAGCACATTAGTCATGTAGAGGCCTGTATGACTAGACTATAAGGCTGACTAGGGACTAGGGGTGTGGGGGCTTGTTGGGCAGCATTCTCACGAACGAAGTATCCAAGGAAATTCTGCTGCGAATTGTTTAGGCACCTTTATTACTCGCAATCGCAGCTCTTCCCGGCCTTTGCAGCAAACTGCCCGCGGCGCATCGGGCAGGACACTTCGGAAGGTCAGAGAAAGCCGCTCTTTGGGGCAGTGATCCTGGCCATCGGCTCAGTGTGTTGAAGGTTTCCCTAAGGCTCCAAACGACCTAATAGGGTTTAGGGTTTAGGGTGTGTTAGTATTCAGAATTATATGATTATTAGGCACTTGGACCCTTAGGGTGTGTTCTCAGGTAGAGAAGCTTCAATGGAAGACCTTGAGTCCTAGCTCGCTGTCGCTATACCCACATCACCACTTCATGCTCGGGCTGCAGACTTATCTTTCGGGGTACCTTATTTCAGACCAATGAAAATTGATTCCTCTGGCAAGAGGAACCGTCATACTCGGGAACGTGACATTCGTACCTCACTCGAACGAGTGTGGCTGTGGCAGCGGTAGTGGTAGCTGTAGTAGCTGTAGCAGTAGTGGAATTGGGAATGGTGACAGTTGAGGTCGTTGTTTCACTCGTAGTTGCCTTCGTGTTACTAGTTAGCAGGAAAAGCAGAAGCAACATCGCATACACTAGTTTTATGCGTACACGTTGCAGTCCAAATGTTGACCACGCTTGCACTTGATCGTTGTTCACCTCATTCTGACCAATCTGAATATTCTAGGTGTCGTATGGATTGATTTGCCGCACGGATTACTCGCGACTCCTGTGATAACTTCGATGGTAAATGCATATGTAAACATTGAGTGTATGAGTATGACTCCGAACAAAAATTTTGAATCTAGCCATAAACAGTCCCCAGCCACTAAACCCAATCTTCGGTAGCATTAATGCTTAAGTAACTAACTCATTGAAACCTATGCCATAAGGACCATCAATGTCGACCCTCATTTCAAGACATGAACCGGGAGAGATGCCTCATCTAATCCACAGTCCACCACACACTACTCCAAGATCTACAAACCCCCACCTCGACCCCAAAAGTATGTAAAATAATCGCAACAATTTAGCTACGTTGGGGGGTTTAGGTACAGTCAAAGAAAGCTTACAGACTCTAAGCCTTCAAGCGTGCCTTCTTGATGCCGTGCTGCCATTGGGAGCGTGATGGTCCAGTCATGAAATACCTGCAGTTTAGGGTTTAGGGTTTAAGGCTTTGGGTTTAGGATTCAAGCACTTGTGAGCATGATGTCTCGTGTTGTGTAGGAACATGCAAGACACCCAAGAAAAAAGATAGTCTTCGAGCAGCCCAGGTACAACGACCGTCTGGGGATGACAACCTCAAAGCGACAGCGTAACTTGGTGGGCTCTGGATTCAGCAGTTTTCGGGCCTTGAGGGTCTTGGTCTGGGGTGAGCTGCGTGCTGGGAAAACGATGAGTGAACTATTTCCCAAACCCGAAGCCCGCAAGTAATCGATTGCTTGTTGCACACATGTTGCGTGTGAGGCTGAAGATAGATGCGGATATAGCTATGGTTCAGAGAAGGTCAGGGTCATTTTTTGCTTGGCATCGTTCCAACACATATACGTACGTCGTAGCTGTACCCAAACTTGTAATCAGACATTCAAAAGACTGAGGATGCATGGGTTCAGGGTTTAGGAGTTTAGGGTTTGGGGGCCTCCCCCGGCGCCTCCCATTAACCCGAAAAGGGTTGCGGCAACATCACCCAGAACCCTTATTCTTTTTCTGGGCCAAAGTCTCTTGCCTGTTTAGAGCTCTTGCCGTCTTGCCGCCGTGGCAGTGTCGCGCACCTTCGCCAGGCCATAAGCGCTGCCACCGGTGTCGTAAAAGGTCATGGTGGCATCCTTGGGAGGGGTTAGGGTTTAGGGTCTAGGGTTTAGGGTTCAGGTTCTAGGGTTTAGGGTCTAGGGTTTATAGTTTAGGGTTTTACATTGACCTCCCAAAGTGGGCAAAATAATGGCCCAACACCTGCAAAAAAGGCGACTGTTCTACATACTTTTGGGGCCCAGGTAGGGTTTCGGGCTCTCAAACTTTAGGAGTTTTGTGTTGGGCGTTGGATCTTATAAGGTTCGGGGATTTCGTAAACCCTAAACCCTAAACCCCACGGTTTAGGGTTTAGGGTTCAGGGGTTTCAGTTGTAGAGATGTTTAAGAAGATCCTTAATAAGAAGAAGAAGCTTTTGACTCTATCTATCCTCGGACTCACACTATAAGGGATCAAGGCTATTCGGATCAAGGGCTCGGGCCTTGGGCGTGATGTCAGCGTGTTCCGATTGTGCTGTTGCGCTCTCGCCTTTAGACGATATCCCCGCTATATTTTGTATTGTATGCTGCACAGCAAAATCCAAGCAAACCTAGCCTGACCGGCCTGACCCTATAGACCCAATCCCGAAAAGCTGACCCACGAACTCCACCATAGTTTGACCCTAAACTTGACCCTAAACCCTAAACCCTAAACTTAAAACCAAGCCGAACTACAATCCTCCGCCATTCGGACAGACCGGGGTACGGAGAGTAGTGAGCAGCAGGCTATGACAGGCCCGAAGCACTTCTTGGAGTCCATGTGCTTATGCATGTAGCCGCCTTGCGCATGATTTTTCAAGGCTCAAGGTCTTAAGTCTTAACCTGTCAATTTTCTAGTTTTGGACTTCGAGATTGCTGAAATTCTCGAAAGTTCAGGGTTGTTGGTTTTGCAGGCTTCCTTGGTGCAGGGTTTCCGGGCCCCACAGATCCGTCAGGATACAGAAATCCGGTTTGGGCCGGACTTGTTGATCTGTTTCTGACTATTTGTTTGTGCCGGAGAAGCTGCGTTAACTACTTTGCAATCAGAATACAACTACTCCTCCAAAACAGAATGAAGAAGTTTGAATGCCACAAAACCTTGGAACAGTCACGGAGAACTTCGGATAATCGCCCAAACCAAACATCCACTCTAGGACGTAGGCCTGGCTGGAGAACCAATCGTTGAGCGAACACTGGTGCGACTTGAGTAACGATGGTCTCAGGCTCAGGAGATGTAG